ATCATTTGACTGAGATATTGGTAGGCAATATTGGCACTCGGAGCTCGAATACTGACTATCAACTATCAAGTGTCGGGACTTGGTAATCGGTAGTTGAGACTTGGTGCTTGAATGGATATTGCATATATACATAAAAATACAAAATATGTTCCTATGTGTTCATTTCTAGGTGAATAGTATCTCAATCATCTATTCAACAATAGAAACAATGTATCAGGAGCTCAGGACCATAGGGTAATCCTTTATTGTATAGTGTACCTCCCCCTCTTCTGGTGGTTCACCTGCTGGGGTTTTTTCCCTGTAGGACTGGACCTCAAGGACTGTAGGGAGTCTATTCCTGAGCATATTCGGAGTAGATATATCATATAACCAGCCCAGGACACACAGGATCATTTTCCAGGAACAAAGCATAGACAATTGCACTTGTGATATTTTTTCACGATTTTCAGTATCTTGCCCTTGCATCCATGATCCAACCTTTTAATATATAATGAGCATAGCTTATATTCTTGCTTCTTATGACCAAGATCAGCTCACAATAGGCTGGAGTTTGTGAGCTAGTGTGTATACTTGCCATTTCGCCTGATAAGGGGCCCATGCCTTCAAAACATTGAATCTTCATAATCAGAAACCTGGGGTACATTTCAAATATCTTAAGTATCATAGACATAAATTTACAGACAAATCAACCAAGAATTGAGTACTGAGGAAGTGAAATGGGTAAGAAATTGAGTGTGGGAAACTTCAAAGACCCAAAGCATCGAAAATGGTTAGTTGAGCAGTGGTAGGACTTTAATGCTGGGTCAACTCATATTTTCACTATATCCCTTCTACCCACCCCCTACCCTCAGGGCAGTAGGCAGTATGGGTTCCTTGGGTAGTTTACGATCTATCCTACATATTTGTAATGATATTTTTGGCCTGAATCATATATAAATGTGACTTTGTATAAAAGATGTCTATTGTCACTCTCCACACATATGTCATTTTGCCTATCATTACATCAATCCTTCATGAATCTTTCTAAGCTTTTAAGCTATTATAATGGATGTATATGGGTGTTATTCCAGGTCTCTGATCACATCACAGGCTTGTTATGTTGGATATCTCGACATAATGTGCAAGTCTCGCTATTAATATTCATTCTTTTATCTTTAGACTCACTTACTGCACACATGTATTTCATTTGTCATTATTGATGTTTCGGATTTCTTTAGCTTATATCTCGGTCACATGGTAACCAATGGACGAGAAAAGACTACAAATAAACTCACCTAGACTCGGACTACAACCTTCATTAAGCTGACTACTGATTCCCGGGTACCGAGTATCAAAACCAAATACTGAGTACCAATTACCATGTACCGAGTACTGCGTAATGAGTAACAAGATAACCAATTGACAAGAAAAGACTATCACTACACTCACCTGGACTTGGACTACAACCTTCGGTAAGGAAGTTAAGCATAATAACAACTTTCATTTTTTCATTATTGCTGATGTTTTGCCGAATGACAAGGAAAGACTACCAAGACACTCACCTTGACGTGGACTACAACTGTCATTTTTCATTATCATTTGCCTATATTGACTACTGAGTCTCGAGTACCGACCACTGACCACCAATCACTGAGTACCGAGTACCGAGTGCTGACAAATACAATTCCCAAGTTATTTGAACCCTACACCAATGGATAATACATACAAATACAATTCGTGTCCATTTGAAGTACCGGGTTTCAGGTTTCGACACTCGACACTTGGTGATTTGTGCAATGAGTGAAAAATGGACATATTGTGTACATGATTTTGGGTTTCAGGCTTCGGGTTTCGGCCCTCGGCACTCGGAACTCGATGATCTGTGTAATGTAAATGAACAATGAACATGTTGCACACCAGGTTTCGAGTTTTGGGTTTCAGCACTTGAAACTCAGTGATTTGTGCAACAAGTGAAAAATGGAAATGTTATATACATATTTTCGGGTCTCGGGCTTCGGGTTTCGGCACTTGGCACTTGGCACTTGGTTATTTGTGTGATATAAATGAAAAATCAACATGTTGCACACTGGGTTTCAAGTTTCACGCTTTGGCACTCGAAACTCGGTGATTTGTGCAGTGAGTGAAAAATGGACATGTTGTGTACATATTTTCGGGTCTCGGGCTTCGGGTCTCAGCCCTCGGCACTTGGAACTCGATGATTTGTGTGATATAAATGAAAAATCAACATGTTGCACACTGGGTTTTAAGTTTCACGCTTTGGCAGAACTCGAAGCTGTTGATTTAGATATCACCCAAAACCCGAACACCTGAATGTCAAATTTTCAGTGCCGAACCCCGAACCCCGAGTGCCGGTGCCGGGTGCCAAGTCCCGAAGCCCGGAACTCAGGATTTGACATTTGAGACGAATGAAAATTTTCAGACATGTTTGAATTAACCTACATATATCTATAAACATTTCACTAACCCCCGAACCCCGAAAGATATTTTTGTTGTCTTACATACCGAGTTCCGAGTTCCGGGACCCCCGAACCCCGAAACCCGGCAGTCCACAATTTCGGGGTTCGGGGGTTGGTAAAATGTGTATGGATATATGAAAGGTTGATTTAAAACCCCGAAATTGTGGACTGTGTGCAGTGAGCAAAAAATGGACATGTTGTGCACATATTTTCGGGGTTCGGGGTTCGGGTTTCGGCCCTCGGCCCTCGGAACTCAATGACTTGTGTAATATAATTGAAAAATGGACATGTTGCACACCGGGTTTCGAGTTTCAGGTTTTGGCACTCAAAACTCGGTGATTTGTGCAATAAGTGAAAAATGGACATGTTGCGCACATATTTTCGGGGTTCGGGGTTCGGGTCTCGGCCCTCGGCACTCGGAACTCGATGATTTGTGTAATGTAAATGAAAAATGGACATGTTGCATGCTGGGTTTCGAGTTTTGGGTTTCGGCACTCAAAACTCGGTGATTTGTGCAATGAGTGAAAAATGGACATGTTGTGTACATATTTTCGGGGTTCGGGGTTCGGGTTTCGGCCCTCGGCCCTCGGAACTCAATGACTTGTGTAATATAATTGAAAAATGGACATGTTGCACACCCGGTTTTGAGTTTTGGGTTTTGGCACTTGAAACTCGGTGATTTGTGCAACAAGTGAAAAATGGACATGTTGCATACATATTTTCGGGGTTCGGGGTTCGGGTCTCGGCCCTCGGCACTCGGAACTCGATGATTTGTGTGATATAAATGAAAAATCAACATGTTGCACACTGGGTTTCAAGTTTCACGCTTTGGCACTCGAAACTCGGTGATTTGTGCAGTGAGTGAAAAATGGACATGTTGTGTACATATTTTCGGGTCTCGGGGTTCGGGTTTCGGCACTCGGCACTCGGAACTCGATGATCTGTGTAATGTAAATGAACAATGAACATATTGCACACCCGGTTTTGAGTTTCGGGTTTCGGCACTTGAAACTCAGTGATTTGTGCAACAAGTGAAAAATGGAAATGTTGCATACATATTTTCGGGTCTCGGGCTTCGGGTTTCGGCACTTGGCACTTGGCACTTGGTTATTTGTGTGATATAAATGAAAAATCAACATGTTGCACACTGGGTTTCAAGTTTCATGCTTTGGCACTCGAAACTCAGTGATTTGTGCAGTGAGTGAAAAATGGACATGTTGCGCACATATTTTCGGGGTCCGGGGTTTGGATTTCGTCCCTCGGAACTCGGAACTCGATGACTTGTGTAATATAATTGAACAATGGACATGATGCACACTGGGTTTCGAGTTTCGGGTTTCGGCACTCGAAACTCGGTGATATGTGCAATGAGTAAGAAATGGACATGTTCCATACATATTTTCGGGTTTCGGCGCTCAACACTCGGAACTCGATGATCTGTGTAATGTAAATGAACAATCGATGTGTTGCACACCGGGTTTTGAGTTTTGGGTTTCAGCACTCGAAACTCGGTGATTTGTGCAGTGAGTGAAAAATGGACATGTTGAACAATGGGTTTCAGGGTCTCGGGTTTGAAAAATAGCATAATAACAACTTTCATGTTTTCATTATCATTTGCCTATATTGACTACCGAGTCCGATAAGGGACCCCTTGGATGATCCATTGCTCAATGAAATACTACCTGATTGGAAGTGTGCTGGTTATCAGATATTCATTTGTCGACTCCCGGTGAAGGTACAACAATTCAGATGGTGAGTCTGAACAATGTTGGGTCTTGCAGAACCTAGCTGCTATTCGACCCTAAAGGGTTTCTGGACTAGGCTCAAGGCTCAGAGGAGAGGAAATATCATGAAAAACTACTGAAGACTCAGACTCATACTGATAACTGGTGAAAAGATAACTTCCTTATGTAAGCTACAAAAGTGCCAACATAAGGTAAGGTAAAAACAGTCTCTACAAGCCCAGCCAGAAATGAATTCCTACACCGGGTCCTGGAACTCAGAAGTCGGTACGGTTGACCCAAATTTGGGTGGTCGGAACTTGGTGTCTCGTAGGGCAACACAAGCTTTGCACCCCGGATTCCAAATTCTGCAAGACAACCTGTGCACCATCAAAGGCCATGTCAGGAGATCACCTGCTGCTCCGGGAACTCGGTAACTTTGATTTATTACCTCCTCTGATTTGGTTGATGTACAACTACCTCAGCTCCATCATGTCTACAATTATGATACACATGGGCCCACCCATCTATATTTTATACCACCCTCGGCCCACCCATCTAATACAACATCCCATACAACACCCTCGGCCCACCCGTCTAATTAATATGCGTCTGGGCCTACCCGTCTAATACAATATTTTATAATACCCTCAGCCCACCCGTCTAATTTAATATGTGTCTGGGCCCACCCGTGAATGTGATAACAAGTACCTACCCATCTATCTCATACACATCTACCTTAATACACCCATCTGCATAATATCCAACTACCTCGGCCCACCCGTCTACCTAATATTCATATACATCGGCCCACTCATCTACTCTATATATTCCCTGCATGGGCCCACCCGCCTCCATCGGGAATAATTTGCCTCCCGGCCCATCCGTCATAGTCGAGGATATTTTTATCATGGGCCCATGGTCCGCTGGCCCGTATCATACGGGATATTATGCATGTCCGTTCCCTCGTATTATACGGAGATAGGTCACTGTAATATGTGGGAGTGAGGGGAGCAGGAGCCGAAGTGAGAGCAGGAGCTGGAGTGAGGGGAGCAGGAGCCGAAGTGAGAGCAGGAGCAGGAGCGAATTGCGAACTCCCAGCGTGAGGTGTTTCAATGGTATTTGTGTAATGAGGTATATGAGGGCCAGGAGAGTATGCTTGGCCATAATGTGAAGGCGCAGTACTGGAAGGTGAGGGATATGTGGGAGCGTGAGGTGACCATTGCGAAGTATTGCCGAAGTGTGTGGGGGGACCAGCCCCACCACGCGATTGAACAAGTGAATATAGTGCGCCGGCGTGATCAACGCCCGGCTTTGAGGAGTGGGTTACTGCAGCCATGGACGGATTAGAATGCCAAATTGCATCTAATTCCGTGTACCATGGCAGCTCCGAAAGTGCTGCATCTATGATGATCAATTGATTGAAAACTAAAAAATTGAGACAGGGACTCACCTAATAGATTCTTTGCTTGGGTCCCTTCAGCCGGCATCACACCAGCGCCGGTGCTGCTAAATGTCGCCTTAAGTTTCTTGTATTTACCCCTAAGACTGCACAAATTTTAGTATTTTGATGAACAGAACAAAAAAATAAAACAATGTACCTTCCAATACGGTTGCCAACTGCGTTGCGGAATTTTTTGGGATTGATGGTGTATGCGGCACCATACTTAGGGTGGCCTGCAAATAAGAGCTTGGCGATATTCTGGTAGATTTGGCCTTTATCCGACCCCGATGGATGGTCGTCGACAGCGGCCATTGCTTTTTTCCCATCAGAGTAAAATAGGACCCTACAATCAGCAGCTTGAGTCGTCAGGTAATTTACCAATGTATCAGTCAGAGTGCGGTCGCTTTGCCACTGAATAGCTAGTTGTGGTCCAGATGATTCTTTGGGCGGTCCTCGAGAGGTTGATGCATCGTCCATTGCCCTCGAGTCCAATGGAGCATTAGATTTGAGGCGTGCAGAACGTCGAACACGTTCACGACGGGCAGGAGGCATAGTTGTTTCGAAGTCCGACGTACGATGCCGGCCTGACCTTGAATCGGCCGAGGTTTCTAGCCGTGAGTTTGAAGTGTTTAGCCAGCATTTAACCGAGTTTCAAAACCTTCCAAAACCTATTTTGAGTACCACTATTGTTTTCGAACTCTCTTGATGTATCTGTGCTCACCGCGAGGCTGGTACGGCCGATTGCCCCAAGCCAAGTGGTGCAGTCGCATTCTCGTCCTCTATCCAGACCTTTTTTTACTACTCCATCCATGTCCCCTGATGGGACCGCGAACGAATCTAACTTTCGAACTTCTGCATAAGTAATCTGAATTATACTTTCGCGACCTTTTGCAGCTGTACGCGGGTGAGCTGGCGAAGTGCAGCTTCATCGATGTCGGTTGATGATGGACAAGACATTTCCGTTTCGTTTTGCGCAGTGTAGGATTTAATGTATCATCATGATGTTCCTTACTTCAAGGTACATGCAGAGTCGATTAGTCAAGCCGAAATCTCGGATAGAGATCAATAGAAACAAACAACTAAGTACGACATACTCGATATTTTGGCCGTTGACGGTCTGGATATTGATGCTCAAAACCAATCTTCGACGTCCAATGCTAGTCATCATGATAAAGGTCAAAGAGATGTTGACGCTTCCCTTTCTTATTCCTATCGAATCTCACACAGTACATGGGCTCGCAAACATGAGAACCTCAATAGTCACACGGTAATAGCTGGATGGATTTAGCAGTGTCAACAAATTTCTAAATGATTTAAAACGCGTAGGCGTTACGCTGTAATGAGAACTCATGTCACCGTCATCGCAAACTATCAACAGCGCACCGCAATTTAAATTTTTATGCTGGGGTCGCAATGGTCACGTGAATGTGTTGTGTTGTTTGCCACCACAGGTCACGCTACATTTATATGACCTTACTTCGCAAAGTAATATGTCTACTAGTCCACACCCGTTCTGCCTTCGGCACAGGAAGCAAAAAAGAGTGCTTCACACTCTTTTTTTAGCTTCCTGGCCTCAGCTTCATCCCAATAATTCAGAAGGCTCCTGATGAGCATTGTTCCTTTGTCACAGGAAGCCAAGGAGGGCGCAGCCCTCCTTTGGCTTCCTGGCCTCAGGCTGCATCCTAATAAATTGTGTATTTTGAATAAGATCACACCTCAATAGTGTATTTTGAAAAAGAGGCACATTTATGAGCACCATTTGAAAAAACTAAAAGTACAATCTACCACACCATGTAAAAGTACATAGTACATTACTGTACATAAGATCAGTCAGTTCTACATTATTTGAGCAGGATTTTGACAAAAGTAAAAATACAATCTACTACACAACATAAAATTACAAAATATGTAACAGTATCATTGAATGTATTCATTTTCCCATTTTTCTGTGCCTCCCGTCTCCCGTCTCCCGTCTCCCGTCTCCCGTCTCCCGTCTCCCGTCTCCCGTCTCCCGTCTCCCGTCTCCCGTCTCCCGTCTCCCGTCTCCCGTCTCCCGTCTCCCGTCTCCCGTCTCCCGTCTCCCGTCTCCCGTCTCCCGTCTCCCGTCTCCCGTCTCCCGTCTCCCGTCTCCCGTCTCCCATTCTCCCTGTTTCCCAGTTTCCCATTTTCCCAGTTTCCCATTTTCCTGTCCTCTCATTCTCCAATTTTTGAGTATCTGTCTTTTGCTCCCTTTTTTGATGTTTCACAACTTTTTTGTGTCATTTTCTCCTGATCTCTTTTATTTCCTTCACCACATATATTTGTTGTTCCATTTTAGTTTTATTATTTACTGTATGTATGTACCATAAACAATTACAATAGGGAAAATCCTGCGTAGTGTGCTGCTCTAATGGTTATGGGCAATGGAAATCGAGTCGGCGCTCGAAAACACATGACAGAACCACGCGAGTTGCCAAATTGAGGTTAAGCGAGCTAAGCGCAAACCACATGGCCTTTGGCGAAATAGGCGAAAGCCACGCGAGCGCCTGAACGTTCCCGCAACCATCGCACTTTACTTCTTAGATTAGTCACTCCCTTTCCACGCAGGTGGCAGGGCGCTATCACTTTCCTCATTACGGCCATGTTCCACTGCCTTCGTCACGTCTGTTCGAAGCAATACCCGTTCTGATTCAAAGTTTCAAACAATGAAGGTGAAAAGTGCCCCAGCGCTGTTTTTAAACAAACCCACCATCAAATTCATGTCCTTTCTTCAGTCTAATACTTGGTCACCAGCTCAATCCCAATGTCACGGTACCGACATCATATGTACCTACTAGAGATACAATATGAAATCGGAAGGGCAGTGTCCTTACTGGACCGCAGATGTGGTAGACATATGCGTCTCATGATCTCCAGATGACATATGGATTCCAGGGTAATAACTCGTTGTTTTTGAACACGTGCGCTACATTCCCTACACATAATGTCTACTCAGCAGGGAATGGATCGTGATTGAAATCTACCTACAAGTTCGCGAATACAAGGACCCTCGGTCCATTTGGTCCCGAATTTCCAAGGCTCGAAATCATTCCTCTGGTAGCTAAATTTACTGCTGTGCAAGTGCTGTCTACTGATACTGTCGTGGTGCAGGAGCCTCCAAACTTTATGGCAAATCATCATCCGTCGACATGTAAAAGTGCTATGCGCTTCAGGTCGATTGAGCGAAAGCGGAATTGTTCTATGACATGATACGCAAGTTTGACGATGGCATAAATACTGAAGCAGAATTCATCGACTGGTTGATGAGTAAGTCCCGTCCCGCACTATGCCCTCAAGGAGATCATCTCGAAGGAATTTCAACACCAGGTTTCAGATGATTATGTGTTGCGGCATTAGTGAAGGAGGTAGATGCGGCTTCACGCACCAAAAACCATCGATGGATAGGTACCCAGCGCTCAGCAGCGATAGTTCTTGATCCATTATGGGATGACTTTTCCGTAAACTTGGCGAGGTAAGTGCCGCAAAACCCTTATGGGGGTGTTCTAGAGGTAGCACAGCAGGTATGCTTGACTTTGATCCCCGTTTTACATGTACCAGAGCCCCAGATCTCTCTGATGATGCGGAATTCATTGTCAGGCGACTGGGCTCGACACCCCCCTCATCGCCATGGGATTTCAAATGAAACACGCGGCGCTTCACCACTTGCAAGATTTCGATAACGGGATCATGGCAATGATTGTATTCAGTACAAGGTCTTCGAAGCTAGACCATGCTGGTGATTCATAAACGTGTGGTAGGCATTTACACGCTCACCGATCAGTGTGTTGTGCTAATATGACCCTTTTTGTTACAGAGTTGCGCCAGAAATACATCAGTCCATCTGAAGGAAAGAGAGCGACTTGAACAGCCCAACTTTCTTCACCACGAACACTGGGCCGTTATGCGATTGCGAAGCACTGATAAGTTATTTGAAACCTGCGATGAGTACCAGGACATCGTCTCATTGATGACGACTTTTGTGGAATCCTGACTCGATCGCATTTGAGTTGGGGTCAACAGATTCTTCTTATATGTGATATTGTCGCACAAATGAGAAGCGAAGATAATCATTGTTACCCAATATCCAGAACAATAACAATTCACATTTTCAATGCAGTCGACAGCATCATAAAATTCAGCGAAACTGTTGCTCGCTGACAAGGATATTGCGCTGGACCAACGAGATAAATGATGTCTCATCGATCAACGTGTTCTTGTGGTATCGTAATCCATCTCTCCGAACCATCACGTACTCGTCAGATGTTTCTGGTTCTTCCACATCTGGCAGGCTGGTGGACGAGGGTCAATTTTACTAGGATTTCTTGCCTTTTTGGCGGGGTTTTTTTTCCAACAAGGATTGGACCTTGTATGGTGATAGTGATATATCACCTGACTACAAGGAAGTCCGTTCTCCGCGAGGTGGAGGAGGTGACAGCTGTCGGTTGCAAAATATCAACCAGGATTGGATGATGCTCGACTAGCGCTCAAGCTGCAATATGTCACGACCGTGACACAGGAAGGCTATACCACATATTCACTGTTAGACATCTCCGGTGTCCTGAATGGAGAAAATAAAGAGAAGGCACTGAGGAGGCTCTCGGTCTGTTTTTACAGGAGATTATTGACATGGTAGTTTGACGATGTCACCATACTTGATTGTAGTGATGTGCATGGCCCGGCTTCAGGCCGTGGGCCAGGCCAAGCCGGGCCTGAATAGGCCAAGCCGAGCCGAGCCAAAGTCACGGCCTGGTGACGGCTTTGGCCTGGCCTGGGCTAATGAAAAGCCAAAGCCGCCGGCTCAGGCCGCGGCTTAGTCAACTGTGCCTGCAGCGCCCAAGCTCAAACTGTTTGACGATCGTCGATCGAAAATCTGACTTCTGTCTCATTTTAGCTTTTCAATCACTTACATTGTGTGCATGTTCATGTGGTAAGAATCACAGTGAGTCGCAGACATTCTTTTCAAGCTCGACACAACTCACTTGCCACAGTGTTAGCAGATAGCACACTCGTCATTTTCAGTACCTGTCAATTATGGCATCGTCAGTTTCAAGTGAGCGCACGTTCTCACAGGGCGGTATCACTATCAGCAAGCGCCGAAACCGTCTCAAGGGTGACATTGTTGAGGCACTTCAATGCGTCAGTCAAATGCGCCCTCCGCCACGACGTACTCTTCCGTGAGCCTGGACCATCATCATCAACTGAGGAAGCTCTCGAGGACTTGGATATTGAGTCAGACACTAACGACTCCGAGAAGCTGAGTGATGCCGAGGATGAAGGTTGGGACGCTCTTCTGGAGGGAGATGAGGATCTCGTAGAATCAGACAGCGACTTCGTGTAAATAGTATGTCATCCTTGTCTGAACCATTTTTCTGTTTTCAGTGCTCGGGCCGCGGCTCAGGCCAAGCCAGGCCAAAGCCAAGCCGTCATTGACGGCTTTGGCCTGGCCCGCAGTTTTTCAAAGCCAAAGCCGTCTGAAGCCAGGCTGAAGCCGCGGCTTTCAGGCCAAGCCGGGCCGTGCACATCACTACTTGATT